CGCGCATGTGCTTCAGTTGCAGCCTCACATCCCTGTGAAGCTAAAAATAGCTGCATGTGTTCTCATCTCATATCTCTTTGTCATCCAAGTCCTGTTTTTTTTAAATATGGAGGAGGGGCTAAAAACAGAAACACTGCTTCACCAAAGCAAGACAAGAGACCACAGAAAGGTAATAATAGCTGCCTAGGAGGACAGGAGAGTGCAGCAGAACACATCTGATGAACTGAACTCAAATGAATTTCAAATGCATGTGTGGGCATGTTTGTTTGTGTGTGTGCTTGCAGGATTTGAGAGTGCCTGTGGGAGCGTGAATGTGAGTGTGGTGGCACTGTCTGTTTCCTCCAGTCGGGCTCCTTCACGCGCCGCACACAGAAAGAGCATCTCACCCTTCGTTCCTCAAGAGCGTTAAACAGAACATGTTTCCCTGACAACCGTAAGCTGTGGTCAGTTTTCAGAAGGCAAAGCTGTCACGTCTCCTGTCATTAGGTGAGGCAGCTTAGCGGTAATGAGAAGTTGTGATGGATCGATACTCAGGAGCACAGTGGGAAGGTCGGTGTAACCTTTTTGGGGGAAGGGTGCTGAGCAATTAAAGCGGTGTCACACACAGGCCACCCGAGCAGATTTGCAATTCAAATGTGTTACATCTCCCGGGGATAAAACTCCCATTACTCAATGGTGACCTATGCAAATCCGCCATTAAAATGTTCAGATCTTATTGGTGTTTGATTAATGCACTTTGTTGGAGATGATATGGGGAGGATGAGCTGTTTCGGATTTCTTCCAAGCACACAGTAACACAAAATACATTTTACTTGTATATAATGAGTGATTGCGTTTGGGTTATCTTATGACCATGAATTGTTGATTTTAAATCCAGAGCTAAAACAGATTTACACAAGTTGATAAAAGCAGAGATCAACCTTTTTGCAAATACAATTATGGGCCTTAATTATTCCTTTAGTCAAGCTTGCATATTGAGCTGTCAATTGTTAAGAACTAATTGAAATGGTTCTATTCTAATCTAATTTGTTTTCATTTTAATTTTCTAAGACCACAAAAGCTTTCAACTCCTTTTAGAAAAAAACTGACCCAACAGGCTTCATAGACACAGGTGGGGTAGGTCATTTTGGAGAAACCATGCTCGAGTGCGCTAGAATTTGAAAATACACAACCGGAAAAAATCTGCCACTTCCTTACAGAGCCCCTCCTCCAACACACACGACCGCGCACATGACCAATGAGGGCACGAGATAAGTTTGTGCACAGATGGAAGGCTGACAGGCAGGTAGGCCATCCAGTTACTTTAGCCAGGCCGACTCAGATGATTGGTCGTACTTTTTATAGTACTACGGCTTCCACAGATTACGTTTTTATGGATTTTTTGTCAAAGCACTTAAGATATTCATTGCTATCGGGATGTTAAGAGCATTCCATGGAATATAACAAAAAGTGTATCTCGAGCCGGTTTCTCAAACTTACCCCACCTTTAAATGTTGCCTGCCTGTACAGAGTCAAAAATACACCATGTATAAAAAGCAATAATTTGCTTCAGAGAAATTTTCCAGAAAGAGCAGGAAAGGGAGCGGGAGCATTGTGTGTGTGGGAGGAAGTCATGGAGATACATTATGGCTAGAACTAAACAAGAGAACAAGAAGAATCTTTGCTGAATCCGCTGTCAAGCTTAAATCCATCTGTCGTTGCAGCCTATTGACACAGTGTGACAGATGCTCTTTAAACGCAATGCTATCAGCAACAGGCAGACATACTGCAAAGCAAACAGATCATTACAACATGAGAGCCTGACAGTGAGCTAATAGAAATCTTGCCCGTCTCAAGCATCGGAAAGGATCAAAATGGCTGTCTGCGTGGTTAAAGTGGGGTCAGAAGTAGCCTGCCAGAACATCACTACTCTTCCATCAAATATAATCTGAAGGGATGAGAAACTGCCATGCTGCATACAGTATGCATGGAGGCGTACTGACTCACTCCATTCTGCAGCTTATTCGTTATTGCTCAAGAGGACATTATAAAACCTAATTTGGTAACCCTTACTACGACAGTGTCCATTAAACTCTGTGCAACCTTCCTAATTGACTGCAGCAAATTCCTAATGTCTCCTATGTTGCTCTTTTATTCCCAGCAGAGTTCCAGCTGGGGACTGCTTTCATTCAATCTGCTGTGTGCTGCGAGTACATTACATGTTACTTGTTAGACACTTTTATCCAAAGCGACTAACATACTCAATACTGTGGCCAATCCACACAGGAGCAATTTGGGGTGAAGTGTCTTGCCCAGGGACACGACGACATTTGCAGTGGGGTTTGAACACGCCTCCCTAGTACATTTGTATTTGACTTTCTTTCTGCTGTCCGTTGCCTGTGACACAGGTTACGTTGCCCTGTCCACCGGGTAAATACAGAGCTGGGCTGGGAGTAAAAAAGGAAATAAAAGTGACATGTCTCATCGCTGCTCCGGCTGTGAATAGAGGACGACAGAAAACCAAGCGAGAGAGCGGCTTCAGAACGAGCAGGATAAACCTGTCTGAGACTTGTTGTGGCCGCCGCACTCAGCTAATGGTTTTCTCTGCGTTCACAGTGTACTTACACAGAGGGTCTGCTCGCAACAGTACACTTTGAAATGAGCATGAAATGTTCACACAACATGATGTCGAATGATGACTCAAACTTTGGGACTCGCACTCCCACACGTTAACTCATAAGACTCATCTTGCTCATTCCTGCTATATGCTCCCCAACCAGCTGGGTCCCTGGTGGTGTTTAAGCACCACTTAACATAAGTAAGAAAAAAATCAATCGGAAAGTCTTAACAGAGGGTCTCTGCGGGCAGGACACAATGAAGCACCCTGCAGACCTTTTAAACCTCACAAACAACAAAACATCACATCTGGTAGAATGGCTACATGTAACTCAGCCAGATGTTTCCTACGTTTGCATCAGGCTTTTCTGAGCGTGCAGAAAATCAACACTCGAGGAGGCATCTGATTTAAGCTGTTGGTTTCTTTGGCCCGATCTCATTTTCTCAGTGGCACTTGGTCTGTGTAGATAACAGCAGCTGTTCTTGGGGGAGCTTTGTGTGACTCAGACGGGAGAAAGGCAGCAGCAGTCAGGTGTGATGACCTTGGAGAGGTCTCTATCTCGACAGCCTCAAAGCCTGAACAGAGGCTGAAATGGACAGGAGTCGACACACACCTCCAGTGAATAGAGGCTTGGAGTGGCCACGTTGTTTCATTGCCAAAGCACAGAGACACACACACCAAATCCATACTCCTTTGTACCTGTGTGGCTGGAGAGAAATAACTTAAAGGACAGGATCAGATCTTTTTCAATCCCTCTTAACCCTCCTGTTGTGTTCAGCTCAAACCTGACCGATTTCTCCTCAATCATAAATATTGTGTTTTACATTTGATTGGCCTTATGATATCCTCCACATTAGGCATTTTAACATATACAATTACTGATCACCACTTTCATTGTGTTCATCCATCAGATACACACACCCACAAATCAAATTTAATTTTAGAATACGTTTTCAGTGTCTATTCAATGCAGTTATTCATGAGTCATCTGAGAGGTTGTTTGCAGGGTGTTAAATAAAAATGTGTGATGATTAATGTTTTTTGTGTTAATGTAAGAGCAGTTAAAACCGCAGTCCGGAAACACAAGGGTAAGGGGGGGAGAAACAACACAACAGGTGGGTTAAACAACACTCTTGCATGTACTGAAAGTGTTCCTCCTTCACACATTGGCTGTGAAGACATCCTTACATTATTTCAAAGTAAGTGATGATGAGTTCAGCGAATACGAGGGTTTAGCAGTCACTTAATCAAATCAATCTTGAGACGTAACGGCTTCATTAATGGCTAATTCCCACTTTTAGTTCCCACAGTGCTGAGCTGAAGTGCAGGAACATTTGCAACTAAACGTATTGTAACTTTAGAAGATAGCCACTTAGTAAAACAAAGCACACTTTTGTGGCTCATCTTTGCTTTGGCAACTTTAAAATAAATATTTGCGCAGAGTGAGGACACTGATTTCCCCCCCCCCCTATCATTTACGTTGGAAGTGCTTTAGGAGGGTATGTTTTAAAGGGCAATATGGACAAGAGAAACGATTACAGTGTCCAATAATGCTTTTAAGATAAGATAAGATACATGTTAATGTCATCCATCTGTGAACAGTGCTGTACAAATGAAGGACACGGCGTTCCTCATGGACACAGGTGCAAAACAAAGCATGAATGATGCAACACTCAGTGGGAGCAAAGCAAACATTACATTTTGATTGGAAATTGTATTAAACTTACTTTTCTTAAATGCAAATTGTATGACTATGTTGTGAAGAAAAGTGAACCTATACACAATCAATATTTCCAGAGTTTAAGATAATTCCTAATGTCTTCAATCCAGAAAAAGCTTAGAAGAGAATACAAACTGTTGGAGCAACACCACATATGATACTGCAAATCAGATGTGCCTCCAACTAATGAAGTGTGGCATATGACCATGAATAAAAGGCCAGTCTGTTCTATTTCTACACGGGGAGTTGGACCAGGTGCTGTGGGGATGCCTGCAGCAGAATCCTGCTATCAATGTCTGACCATATGGGACACATTTAACCCAAACACCAGCAGAACCAGTACACTGCGGCCAACTCGTCTCTGAAACTGTCATGATTAATAAACAAAAGCAGCTGCCATTGCTTCTTAATGAAAGGGGGGTTGAGTTTAAAGCGTCAAAGTGAAGATCACAAAGGGTTTAAATCGACTGACTTAAACCCTGACTAGGTCTCCATAGCAACTAGACTAGGGACACCAGATAGTGATAGAGGAATAAATAAAATAGGTGTTATTGTATTTTGAAGACCATAGGCTGTGAACAGAATTAAGTATAGATGTAAGAGATTCAGGCAATGTGAGGGTGGATGAATCACCACCTTGAATAAAGTTCAACCTATAAGTCCTCAGACAGAGGCTGTGTGTACCTGACTGGAGCTGGATGGAAAGGAGGAGATTGGCGGGACGTCCAGGATCTTTAGCTCATACATGTTCCCGTTGAGGATGACGGAGGGTCTGTACACATATCTGGTCCTGGTCGGCGTGTACACCTCCGAGAAATCGTTATAGATGAACTGGCGGATTATAGAAGTTTTCCCCACTCCGGGAGCACCGATGACTGCGATACTCAGCGTCTCCACCATTCCTGGAGCTCGGGTTCAGCACCATGGACAGCGACGACAACAACACAGATGTGACAGTCCAGAAACGCAGCTGGCCGCCGCTGTTTGGGATGCTGCTCCGATGGAATTCAATCCACCTTCTACTCACCCTTTCCCTTCACCCAGCAGCCTCTGAATCACCTCAGCTGGGTTCAACTGGGTGCAGTTAAACGAAGCGGCGGCTGCATAAAAACACCCACCCTGTCGAGAAAGCGAGAAACTTTATCTCCAGGCTGAGGGAGGAGGGAAAAAAAGACCCTTGCAGCTTGGAGGTTGTCAAAAATAAAGCTTAACCACGAAGATGCAGATGGAGGGGGTTTTCAATGCTTCTGCAATCCAACACAGAAACTCTTGTGGACATCTCCAGACGACCTCCTCCCCCGAGAGGAAGCGAAAAAAGTCCGTTGTTGTTGTCCTCGAATGGACATAATCTCACCCAGGCTAGACTGTGACCTTGTCCAGACGCACAGGAGCCCTCAGTGTCTTCATTGATTATCTCCTCTGCACCTCTTACTAATTTCCTCCGATGCAGCACCGCCGCGCTCCTCCATCACACAGCCGCCAGCCTTTTAAATGAGCTTCCCAATCCCACGTGCTCGGAAATTGCACACAAACCCCATAATCTTCTTGTTTTGTCGATGAAAGAAAGATAGATTCACATCTGCGTGATTCAAAAGACAAGATGCAGTCCACACAGCCTGCAGACGTGCGTTTTCTGTAAAGGCATCTGGAGCCTATTAACGAGCACTGTGCGTGTGTGTGTGTGTGTGTGTAGTGAGAGAGTGTGTCTGCTGTTGGAGAGACATGCGCTGGTGAAGACTGCTCTATCTTTCTCTCCCCCTCTCATCACTCGCTATATCCCTGCATCGCTCATCCAATAGGGTTATATCGTGCGCAAGGCGTGTGAGAGCCTTGAGCTCCAATACGCCAACAAATAAATAGCACAGGAAAAGGCCAAACTCCATACATCATATGAGGGTCATTCATGAGCGGCGTGAGACTGGACATCATTTTCTCTGAGGCGCTCGACTTATTATTGGACAGGGTCTTCGGGCAGGCCAGGGTCGGCGTGTCCCATCAATCACTGCGGGGTGACAGCGAGCACATCACGGGCGCAAATCACAATAGCAAGTCGGGGGAATAAACATTACGAAGTTTATGGGCCCTGAGAATATCGGGAGATGAGCTTGTAACCTCTGCTGATGGTTTTTGAATGCAGCACTTCATTAAAGCACCGTTTATTGGGAGGTGGTAGTCCAGTTTGGTGCTTATCAAGGCAGGATATTCAATAAGGCAGGTATAGGCATTTGCCCTGCAGGGGCCCCAAAGCCTACAGACTCATGCCTCGGCGTAAGGCGTGTTTTTCTACTTGTTCCTTCTTGCGGGTGTTTTAGCTTCACTGTGCAGATCTGGAAAGGTGAATTTCAAATGAACCAACTGGAACATTTAAGTTTCTCTGTGCTCATAACATTCTTAGATTTTGAGGAAAAGGCCTAACATTGTTTGAATGAAACCATGTCCGTGGGCAAAACTAAATCGTTACGGCTTCATTATTTCCAATGATATTATACATATCTTTGACTAAATTAAGACAAATCAAACACAAGGGCAGGTATTTATAGACCTGGTGTTGATTGTTTCTGTTTAAATGTAATGTCCTTGAATCCCTTTTTGCTATAATTAATCAAGTCTAAAGGAGTAAGACAAATGTAAACAGACTTTGACGTGATTGTAATCCTCTTCAATGGACTCTCCTTCCTGGTGAATTAAAGATCTGTCAAAAACAGAGATCAAGAGCCCTGCTGCAGGAGGATAAACACCAGCCAAACGTTTCAAGGATTAGCAAATGACTCATCGACTATTAATACAGCCATTTGGTAAATGTATAAACCCTTTGCAAAGGCTGCCTTAAAACTCGAGGGCCAAAAATGAAATATGTTTTAAAAGCAGTCTCAAGAAGGCCTGTTTGCATTAGAGCTGCATGGAAAACAACAAGTGTCACAGTAAGAACATGCCATTGTTTATTACGTTATGTTTTAAGTCCCTTGCTGCAGGAGCAAAACACACCTGTAAAACGTATTAATCAAATAATTGAATATAAAACTGAGGAGTAACTCTGCTGTTTATTGAATAGCCTACTGTTACTGTTGATTCCTATAGGGTTAGTATAGGGGGTAGGGTTATATATATTCATTCCTGTTCTAACCCTATCCTATAGATTAGACTCCCTTTACGCTAAATAATAAAAACCAAAGTATTTAGCAGTTGTGTTGTAAAGAAATAAAAAAAAATTAGGAAAATATAATTATATATCACTTTCTGTGTATTAACTTTTACAAGTATTTAAGTCAATCTTTTTTTATAATAAGGTCTGAGCCTTCTTTCGAAATTTCATTGCAGTGTCGCCCCCTGTTGGAAAGCATTAGTCACATGGGGTGAATATTATCGATCATTATTCACTTGTAGAAGAGTGTGTTGGAAGCAGCGCTGACTGCTCTCTGGGCGGTGAGGACGGTGCATCTTTCAAATCGAGCTGACCTTTATTATCCACAGAGGAACAGATCGGAGACGGGAGCTTTGTGTTCAGAGCAGGCGATGCAGTTGAACTCCTGGTTAAGCTTTCTCAAGTATTTCGGACATTAAAAACCCTGTCACCCCTTCAGAGGAGCTGCTCCACCTTAAGGTGCGGCACGCTGTGGATACACATCAGACTTACCTTAGAGCTGAAGGTTGAACTACACTGACATTTTTATGCAAAGCTGTGAAGGCTGCAAAGCTGCAGGTCTGTCAGAGTAGAGCTGAGAACACGAGAGGAGACGTGAGCGACTCCAAAGGTCATCAGCGACTCTAAAGTACGGACTGTGAAAACACTTCCCGGGGCTTTGGGGAAGTGATGTTTACCCAGCAAATAAACTGACATAACATTTGGCCTCATGTGACACTGGGAGTGGTGAGACACATTTATAATCAATCAGTGGTTATGTTCAAAACAATATCTTACATATACATACATACTGTTTTGTTCAACTTAATTATTGTGAGATCAGCTTTATTTCTTTATTCCGAGCACTGCATTGCGTTCATTCATAATGTAAGACACTGAACTCTTAAGTGAATTTATCAAGGCTTTTAATATTTCTTATGATGTACACACAATGAACAAAATCATTTCAATCAAAAACCTCTGATTATACATTTGATTTTTTTTCTTTCTTTTTTTTTTTTTTTTTTACAGCATTTTATAGGAATCAGCCGCCACCACACACAGACACACACGTGGTGAGGCGTTAGCGTGGGCGCATACATCGTGTAGAGTCGATAAAAAGGACCTGGATGTAATGACCCGGATAGAAGGGGGAACAATGAACCGGTTCGAGTCTGCAGGTAGAACAAGGGACACTGGATGTACGCAGTGTGCTACCTACACTCACACTTATTACTCAAACCATGGCATCATACGCTTAGAGTTCTCTCACCTGAACCTTCATCTCAGGTGGCCAGAGTACTGAGAGGCTGCGATGAGAGGGCTGAGAGAGCCAAGTGGCAGAGAGTGTTTGTCTTACGCAGGGGGGGGGGGGGGCAGCAAATACAAACACCCTCTCCCAGTTTGCCACATGAACACTAACAAGACTACAAAACGCAAATCAAAGCATGGAATGACTAAGTGAGAGAGCAAACAATGGACGACGGCTGCCAGTCTATCAAACAGCGTTGCTCACATTCTGCTCTCAGACAGCAGAGGATCCGAACCCGCTGCTAAACACTAAAGAAAACCGACAAAAGATTGACGAAGACAAAAAAACTATAATGTAGTTTGGAAGCTTCTATGAGTCTCTTCTAAGAGCCAGACAGCCACTTCACACAGAGCAGACGAGTTAAAGCCTTTTTACTGCGGCAATTTAAATCTTAAATAAATATGCCGACAGAGATATTTCAACGGGTGATCGCATAAGCTATAAATAGTCTCCAATTTGCAGAAAAGTGGGGCTAGATAATTATTTATGCAGAGAAAACTCTCACAGGACTGCAGCCCCAAAAGAAGACAGGTCATCGCTGAGTGCAGGACCAGCTCCAAGTGAAAGAAACTGTATCGTGAGGAAATGTCCTGAAACTATTTTATAGAAAACACACTCGAGAGAGAGAGGGACATGATGAGTCCAGCTAGACAGAGAAGAAGAGGGTTTTCTGCAGGCGGAGGAAAGAAAAACAAGCGGTGACGGGTGGGACCGGGACAAAGAAAAATGATTAACCAGAAGAATTTGCCAACACAGCAGGAAGTGGCTCCTGCACTGCGAGAGGTTGTAACATGGTCTGCGGGTCAGCTGTGTGGGG